CGCAGCCCAGCGCCCGCCGCCCCGCGCCCCAGCGTCTCCAAACACCGAAACAACACCGGGCAGGGCGGCACAGCCTCTCCGAGGCGGCCCAGGCGCTCCAAGACAGCAAAAAAAAAAGAAGAATACGTATGCGTAAAGCTAGATCCTACAGTGGGAGAGACGTGGGGCTGATCTTCGGCATTTATTTTAACACCTGACAGCTAGAATCAATAAATAGATACATTTATATCAATAGATACACATAGGAAACTTGGAGCCAAAGCATTTGGCAAAAGCGGAAAAAAAAAGAATTAAAAGGTAAAATCATGATCATGAGCAGCGGCGGCGGCAGCGGCACCAGCGGCAACAGCGGCGGCAGCGGCAGCGGCGGCGGCAGCAACAGCAATAATCACCTGGTGTCCGGCCTTTCCTAGAAACTTCTTGCATCACCACTTCTAAGAACCCCAGTTCTAAGAATCAACAGAGCTCAATTCTCGGAATTTGAGCTCCGGGCTTTACCATTGCTCCGCAGCAGGGGAGGACTCGGTGACGGCGCCGTACACCGCGGCGCCCTCCTGGCCGGCACAGGGCCTCGGAGCCACGCCGCTGGCCACCGTTCGGGGCCGTTCGAACTCCCCGCAGCACCGCCACCCGGAACATCAAGGGTCCCGCAGCGGGCGAGCGCGGCTGGCAGGCGACCCTCCCTGCCCCTGGCCTCCGATGGAACGGCCCGCTCCGCCGCCGTCACGTGGGCTCCTCCTCCGTGACGTCGGCGTCTTCGCTGTAGCAAAGCTCGGCCTCTGGAATTCTGAGAACTAATTTGCTATTCGGTGACATAAGAGGGGGAGTGCGCTATGCTTTCCCGGGGTCTGGGGCTAATTCTTCCTCTCCTACCCATAAACTCGGCTCCTCGAGCTAAATACACAAAAGGGAGCGAGAGATCTGAGCCGTTGGAACAAGTATGTTAGAGGCACGTTTAGAGAGGCTTGTGAGAGAAAACAATAAATACCACAGCTCCTTCCAGCTAGAATATTAGGCACCACGAGAAAAATATTTGCCAAGCAGTTTTCGGTGGGTTCATTTGTTTTCTTTTTATTTGGGACAAAATGTGTTGGTGGTGGTGGTGAAAGGGGTGAGGGTTTTCTTTTGGGGTGGTGGCTTGAAATTGCGTTTTGCTGTAGTTTGATGATTTAGAGGGGGTTTTTTGCTTCTGATTTTTGCCTTTTGCAAGTTTGTGGCGTTATGTAAAGCGTAGCACCCGTCATCCGTTGATTTTATTGTCTCTGCGTTCTTTTCTTTTCCCTTTGAATCGCTCAGGCATTTAAAATATGCATTATTTCAACCCCAATACCATTGACAGAAGCTTAAATTTTTTGGCCACTTATGACAACCTCAAATTCCCCCCCCCCCCCCCCGCACACACCGCCCTTGGTGCAGCTTCCTTTTCCTCTCGGACTTTTACTGACGGGAGGCTTTCCTGCACTTGAAAGAGATGTAAAAGGATTTGCTTTGGTTTGGTTTGTTTCTTTCCAGGACAGCAAGTGGTGGGTTTACTCTTTCTGTTACTGTTGACTCTTAGGAAATTTCTGGCTGTTAGAAACGTCTGTGTGGGTACGTGTTTGCTTGTCGGCTACAAAATTCTCTGCAGCCAAATACGTGTTTGTGTTCTGCTTTTTCTTAAGGTCTGGAACATTTTTTTTTCCTTTCCCCCCACCCCCCCTGGGTTCGTTTCAAGGTCGTTAGAGGAAAGAAAAAAAAAATCTCTTCGGTGCGTGTTGAAGGGATCAGCCTGAGGGAATTCTAAAGGCCTGCCTGCCAGGATCACAGATACTGCGTGTATTGAGAACAGGCTGTGCCACCACTAGACGCTCTGCACGCAGTCGGGTCCTCTCGGCCCTGGAGCAGAGCTGGGGGGGGGGGGGGCTTTCTTTCCCATCTTTCTTCTTTTATTTTAAAGGCGAATGCAGGACCGAACCCCTTTACTGTGGGCCCTGGTTTGTTCATAGCTGCCAGTTTGCCTGTTTAAATGTTGGTTGGGTTTTTTTTTTTCCCTCCTACTCATCCCTGAGTGAGGGAGACTCTTGTTTCTTTTATGTCTGTCTCTTGAAAGAAGGGTGTGAGGGGAAAATAATATTCAGATGCCTTAAGAATGAACCCCAAGTGTTTGGAGCAATAGAGGCTTCCAAAGGTCAGGCTGTTCTGGGCTTTAGCTGTGAAAGTTCTTCAAGTGGCTTGTTAAATCATGGATGGACTCCGAAAGGTTCTGCAAAATGTCCTCACATATTAATTTCTAGTGGCTATCCGTGGACCACAGCCCCAAACGTGGACTTCAAAATACAGATGTGAGCAGAGCTCTGAGCGCTGCTGATTGTTTGGGGTTTCGAAGGAATCTCTGTCCCCCCAAAACGGTCCTGTTAGAAGTTTCAGCTATGTTACTGGAGTAACACCACCGCTTCAAAAGGTGATGTCACGGGTTTTAGAACTGAGAGAGTCCAAAGGACCGGATTGTTTTCCTCAGGGGCTAAATCTGAATATTTGAATACGTACTGACAAATGAATTACTGCAGTCAGGGCGGAAAAGCCTGTCTTGGGAAGGAGATTTGAAGGCTATACATAGGCCTAATCCTACCACTATTGTGGAAATGAACGTTTTACTTCCAAGACACATGACTTTGCCAAATGGGTCCACGCTGCCGGGAAGCAGGCTAGATGCTTTGGTT